TAAAAGTAAAAAAGTAAAAAAAAATAATAGTATCGATAGATGCGGCCAAATAAGCATCCTTGACATTTCTTTTACAATTTGAACAGTTCTCTGTTGTACAGCGGTAGGTGAATTAACGTAACAGTACAGTGACTTAACGCAATAATTTTCACCTCGTCTACCGTATAGCACGTCTAATAAACTTGAACTTGTTTGGCATATGTCTACCAGCGCCTGAATTGATAGTCCACCCAGTACTTCCCGCAGTGTTCGCCGTCTGTTTGTAAATATCGTGTTACCGATAGAGACTGCACGATGCAATTGCCATAGATATCTATTTACGACGATGAAAGCGGTAGTGGAAATGCCACCATAGACGCCTCTGCTATTAGTCCATATAACATATAGAACATATAACATAGTTCGTTATTGAAGAACCGTCCTTATAAAAGGCCTGGCTCGAATGACTGGAAAATTCAATGACCAAGTGACAAAGAAAATTAAAAAATCGCCAAGCCATGTTCAGTTCGCGGGTACATGTCCAGTTATTATTAGACGAATAAACAAGAAGCATACAACGCGTGTGAATTAAACGGCGACGACGCCCTACTCCCGTTTTGCCTTGCCGTATCACGCAGTGCGACTACGGAACCGCGTAATTATGCTGTAATCGTTTGAAAAAAACGACACATCGATTTGCAGGGTGTATAGCCGCTCCATGACCCGTACGACTTCCTACGTGCCGAGAGTAGGTCCTAAGATACAGCAGGCATGAAATGTTTGGGGTTCCTGAACTGTCGTTTAGAATCAACTGAAGTAGTCCTAGCAAATTCAAGTAAAGCAGACCTCTTTCTTCATTTGTTTTGTTTTTTTTTCTTTTCGCTAAAACACCCCAGTGTTATCATAATTATGAATCTCAATGTAAATTCAGTAATTCGAGATTTGACTAGAAAGCGCTCATGCTCTCCCTTCTCGCGGACCACCTATTTCGACTAAAAAGTATCGACATGCAGCTGTGGTAAGCTTCGTTTTCCAGAAATGCACGTTGCCAATGGCGGTCACGTGTTTTATAGACAGTGCGTGAACTTCCTGGAGCGCGCCGAACAGGGACTAATAACAGTGGCATCATTTGTTCGCGAGTTACCTTGATTTCAAGTTGCTTATTACTGGCTCTTGATTTGATTAGGCCAAAGATCAGGTAAATGTAAGAGTAAGCACAATAACTTTTTCCTGAGCCGTTTAGTATATTAGGCTCACAAATAGTTTCGACAATAACATGTATAAAAAATAGCTTGGAAGGAACATCCAACGTTGATATCAGCAGCAACCGCCTCTAGGCAACCGATACTTTACTATGAAATCGGTTCATATGGCGCCATATCCGACACGAAGAGCTCTCATCGAAAGACTCTGCTACAAACTTCACGGTAGCTTTTGAAAAGGTACCTATGAAAAGTTACACGAAGTCCTTTGAATGCTGCGATGGACTGTAGAACTTGTTCAAGCAAGAGGTAACTTATGGAACTGCTAAGCTAAGCAGAAGATCGCTCCGAATCTATTTC